ACTGACAACGAAAGGCTTACTGTTCTCCCGGGCTCAAGCCCACTTGTATTTTTTATTAGCGCTCCCGGGTTCCTCCCAAATGACGTTACCAGAAACAATTAGACTTCCTCCAGCTCCAGTGGTTCACTCTTCGAACAGATAAAAAATGTTTGCACCTACGGATTTGATTAAAATGGGCATTGTTCATTATGGAAGAACAATCGGGCCACAGCCGGCTGAATTTTACCCATAACATGTTCACATCTAAAATGATGTGCGGATATCCCTACGTAACCCCCCCTCCCCCCTCGGTCTCTTCTCCCTTCCTCCCTCCCTCTCGCTCTGGCTTTCTTACCGTCTCTAGCGATTGTGGTGATGTTTTAGAAGTCCAGTTTGGCCGTATTCTTGCGGCCATCTGTCCTTTTTGTGTCCTTCCCTTAGTTTATTGTTCGATCGTACTCTTCTCTTGGGGGGTGGAGGAAGTACGCGTCACCAGTCTCGCTAGCTGCGACTAAATTCCAGTGGTTTGGACCTTCTCCCCTTGTTTTGGTTCAAGTGTTTCTGACATTCGCGGCCTCATTTGGGGATGCTAAAGAAAGGAATCTCCTCAGGCTTTTTACCACCTCTGCCATTTTGACCAGAGTTACTGATCACAGAACCTTGCTGCTCGCTGTTCGAGTTCACAGAGAGAGAGAGAGAGAGAGAGAGAGAGAGGATCTTGTAACTTTCTATACGAGGAAGGAGGAAGGCTGGGCTTGAATCATTGAAGAGAAGATAGCTTTATCATCCCAAACTGGGAGAATACGATGACGAAATGGATTAGCCCAAGTTGAGATAGTCGGGCTCTGATTGCAGAAATTTGAACTGCTGGAATACCCGAAACATTTGGAGTGAAGAAATTCACACGATTTTCCATGGTATGGACAGTTCTGTATCTAATTATCACTAAATATAATCTGGTGTGAAAGACGGCACGTCAACTCACACGTGTATTCACACGTATGGATAATCAATCCCAAGACTTACTGATTCATAGCGTCCATAACAAAAGCGATACGGAGCTCCTCCTTTCTCTCAAGTAGACGAACTCATTTGTAGCATATCTAACATAAATGGGTGTCTTTAAAACTTTAAAAAATGGAAACATTTTTTGAGTTTGCTTTTCTTCAATAAGCTTTCGTAATGTTAACCGTAAAAAGAAACATACTTCAGGTCATAGACATGCACGTTTGATGTCACGCTAGCGATCTCTCGGGACTGCTTTTCCGAACTTTGACATCAATTCGTACACAATTAGAATTGAAAAGGAAATAGGCATATTTCCTTTTCCCCTTCCCATATTTTTGAAACATAGCGCGACTATGACTTTGGATTCCCTTGCACAACTTTCTCCCTGTAGGGTCATAAATACGATATGAGTATGCTTCGTGCACCGTGTTCTAGTACAGAAATCTGGGAATATACGGAGAGGAGCTCTTCACAGCTCTCACTCCTATAATTTACGAGGCTATGAACACTATATTCCACGTAGAAAATCCCTCCCTAACGAAACAGTGATAGCTGAGTGACGAAGGGCGAGATCAGGTTTGAGATTACGATCAATTATAATAAAATTTGATGTAGACAACTATGCATACTGCAGATGCTCGTGGGGATATGCGTATATAGTGGATCTGAAGGCTTTCCCGTAGCTCTGTACTAGCCTCGGCTGGGTGGTAGGACTAGATGAAACCCTCGACTCTGGGCTCGCACGCGTGGTCAGAGATGCAGAAGGCCCTCCTCTACTTTATACTCTGTCAGCCCCCATGCACGAGGGTGGGCTACGCTTGTCGGGAATATACCCGCGGGTGCACTCAGGGGTCTTATCGTGAGCCATCCTCAACCTTTCTGAGTGTTCACTTCCGCCACCTGTTTGCGTTATTCCCTCCTCCCGCTTCCTTCTCTGCCTGTTGCCAATATATTGGAGTAAACGATGTTTCTAGCGAGTCCGCGTTGTTTCCCAGGCTTTTAGGGTCAGTTAAAGGCTTCCTTCTCCCGGCCTCCTGCTACCCTCCCTTGGGAAGGGCCAACTGGACAGTCTAGGGCAGATAATGAGAAGGACCGGAGAGCTTCTGGTTTGCAAGGGTGTGAGGAAACATAAAAGATTTAATGATCGTCATAAGCTCGCCATGGAAAGCGGAAAGAAGATGAAACCGAGTGAACTGCCCGAGGCAATTAGTACTTTATCACGCAGTGCGCCACACGCCGGGAGAAGAAGGTCTAAAAAATGTCTTGCAAGAACTGCCAAGCCTTGTACGCGGACAAGATGGGTCTTGATTCATGGACAGTGGAGAGCAGTCAAAGAAGATAGAGTATCGGGGGAATATCTCGAGGGCAGAAGCATGCATGGTGAGTGCATGCTTTTTAATTAATGCGTGAACGCTGCGCGTGTGGGAGTCGTCTCCATCCCGATACCCTGCCGGTGCGTAAAGAGAAGCCTGCTTGATTACGAACTTCGAATCACCGTAATGGTCCGATGCCTTCGATGGGATGGCGCACGTCCTGGGGCAGTCCCCAGGACTACGTCCACGTCTATCTGTGTGTGTGTGAGAGAGAGGGAGAGGGAGAGAGAGAGAGAGAGAGAGAGAGAGAGAGAGAGAGAGAGAGAGAAGAGAGAGAGCATCCTTTTTCTTTTCCATCGTCTCCATCTTCTCTGCACTTCCACCCTCAGCGTGCGGAGGCCACACGGGGTGCAATTTGCAGTTGGACTCTCTCTCTCTCTCTGTGTGTATGCAGATGTATCTCTCTTTCTCTCTCTCTCTGTATGCAGATGTATCTCTCCTTCTCTCTCTCTCTGTCTGTATGCAGATGTCTCTCTCTCTCTCTCTCCATACATTTGTACGAATATGTTTGTATCCAGGTTTCCACTTCGGAGTGATCGCCTGTCGCCCACCTCCGGCAGCATCCGGCTCCGGCTGAACCATGCCAAAACCTCCCTAGTTGCCTACAAAAGGTGCCCTTCTAAGATCGCAACCGCTCCGCCGGAGAGGAGCACCCGTCAGGCCGCTGAATCCCCCAAAAGCCTGGTCACTTTTCCCCCCATACAATCAAAAGTGGGCCTACGTCCAGAGAGGAAAAGTCCACATAAGACGGTGCATTTTTGGTACCAGGGATAGAAGAGGAGAAAGTATACCAAAAGTCCAGGACGATGGAAACCACATACGGCACCTCATGGACCGCTAAGACAGACTAGCCTGCACAAACTTTGGCCCAATAATAATGGCCCGGCCCATAGCGCAATATGTAAACACAGCCACAATCCCACAAACCCCCGTTCGCCCAGAGCCCACAGACGCGCATCCTCGTCCATAGCCCACAAGCCCATCTTCAGCTTTTTTCCCTGGGCATGTCACTTCAGCAATGTCTCTCATGTCTGTTGTCAGCCTACATGAGAACTAAGGAAATACCAGCACATAATAATTTTGAGCATAGCTGCGCGCACACTCTGGGAGGTTTGAACAATTTAAAGTGGGAATGGAGGAACAGGGTAATTCTCGTGAAGATCATTTAGTAACTTTTGAGGGGAAGCAGTCAAGGCGGATTTGCCAATTCCTCAGATCACCAGAGCAAGCATCAGTCACCTTGTTCAGCCTTGAATGAATAGGGGAAGAGAGATACAGAAGAGAGAGAGAGAGAGAGAGAGAGAGAGAGAGAGAGAGAGAGAGAGACGTGATAAAGTTCGGTTAATTTTCATGGTCGAAAAGAGAGGAGAGAAAAAAGGATGCATCACCATGAGCATCGCTGGAAGCTTTTAGTTGTAATGGAAGCTGATTACGAAAGCTAACAAAAAAAAGAAAGCAATTGAAGAGGGGACTGCCCTCCAACATTGCCTGTCGCTTGAAACTGCGACTGGTGAGCTCATCTCCTCATTCTAAATGTCACACAATTATGGAGAATCGGATGCCAATCGATAAAATGTCAAGGGAAGAGAGTGGGCCCTCAATCTTCGAAATCCCTTCCTTGTATATTGGATGATGGGGTGCTTACAATCATCAGTTACCACAGCAACCACTTTCTTCCAACAACACTCATAGTCATTCATCACTAAACTCGTGCTTCTACTCTCGCTACTCCTTGCTGCATTGACACAGATGTCTCCACTTTAATTCTAACCAAGAAATCTGATCCATCCTTGAAAATCTAAAATAAATAAATCAATTTGGGCTTAAATTGGTGAATCTTAATTGAGACCAGAATGAGTATATATTGACGGTCAATCTTAGTATCGTAAAGTGCCCATTACAAATTGAGAAGTAGAATCCAAGTTTTCTGTATGAAGTACACTTGGAGAACACAGTTCAAAAGAATCAAAGAATTGTGGTTCCTACAAAGAGAAGGATACGTTTATTTTTCTCCAGGGAGATGTCAACAATAAGATCAATCAGGTCGCCACCAGCACCAAGTGACAGCTGGAATGAACAGAAAATAGTTTTAGAAGGAAAAAATATTTTAAATAAGAAAAAAATTGTCAGAGAGTTGACAACACATAATACCATTCTACTGTCAATGCAGGGAATTCTGCGGAGGGAACAACCTAATGGGCAAGAAATAAATACTAAGATAAGTAGTCTAACTATAACAATGCGCATCAGAAAAAATGCTAATGAACAAGACAACACTAGTTCATTCGTACATCATTAGCGTAAAAATAAAGTCATCAATGAGAGTACTTCTAAATAATCTGCATTGTTACCTTATATGGTTGAGACAGTGTTTGGATGTTTGCATGAGTTGGCGTGGCTGAGACAAGTGTATGCCCTTACTATTTGAAAAGTTCCAGCCTACTTCAAGGGTTCTTTTTTCCAAAAATATCTAATAGATCTTTCACACGTTCAATCTTGGGCACAAAAAACCATCTTTCATCAGTAATAATCGTCGCATAAGCGGTTCAGATTCTCAAAAGAATGGGAATGTCTCATATCTCTCACACTGGAGCAGAACTCTGACATCAATAGTCAGTCTTTAGCACAGAACAAACAATTCTACCAGTAATCGCCACAGGAGCAGTTCCCATGGTCAAAGTGATGGAAACGATTCATGTCCCTAACAATGATCTCACGTTGAGTAACCTCAGAGATTAACTTGATTACAGTATGACAATCCAAGCAGCAGCGGAGATTCTTGATAATACGAATTGACCTTCCGGGTGGTGTAATTATTAGCCCATATGCAATCGCGAGCCTCTCACTATGCACCCATAGTAAGTGGTCTTTTTGATCTTCACCGATGTCATGTAAAACTACATCTTTATGGGGAATATAACCAGATTTCCTAACCTTTCCGTTTAACCATTCCAGCATCGCCTTAATTACTCTCATATCTGGGTGCGACATGTCTCCAACAGCAAAAGAATGAACTTTATCCTGGCTCTGTATCCAGCTAAGGCCGGGTCCTTTCTTTACACCTTTTTCTCTCATCGATTTTCTGATGTGGGACACCTCATCCCATTTCCCTGCAGTAGCGTACATATTGGACAGTAATACATGTGTAGACTCATCGTGTGGTTCTAATTCAAGCACCTGCTTCCCACAAACTCTTCCTACCTCAACATTTTTGTGAACTAAGCACGTCCCAAGCAATGCACGCCATACCATGGCATTGGGTTTTACAGGAATTTCACTGATAAACCTCAAGGCCTCATCAAAACGGCCAGAGCGGCCCAGAAGCTTGACCATGCAAGTGTAATGTTCCATGCTTGGCTCGATTCCGTGGCCCTGAATCATAGAACAAAAATAAGATAAACCCCGGTCAACCAAACCCACATTTGTACAAGCTGACAAGACCCCAATGAAAGTCATGGCATTGGGTTTAATCTTTGTTTCATTCATTCTGCCGAATAGTTTCAATGCTTCTAGCGCTAAACCATGCAGAGAGTACGACGAAATCATAGTATTCCAAGAAATGGCATCATGCTCCTTCATAGAATCAAAGACTTTACGAGCATAATCAATGGCCCCACACTTTGCATATGTGTCGATCAAAGCATTGTGGACAATCATGTCATCATTAAAAAAAGTCTTGGCGATTAAACCGTGAATTTGGGCTGCTTGCTCCATTGCAGCTACACTCGCACATGCCCGAAGAGCACTAGAATATGTGACTTGCGTTCCTGGTACTTGAGCATCACGCATTTGGTGGAATAGAATTAATGCATCCTCCCCAAAACCTAACTGCACATTCCCCACAATAACTGTATTCCAGGAAACTTCGTTTTTATTTTCCAGGCCATAAAATATTTTCATTGCCGCCTCCAATGCTCCACACTTTGCATATACATCAATAAGAGCATTTGCAACATATAATTCCGAGACCAGTCCAATCTTATGTACATAACCATGCACCTGTTCACCTAATCCCAAGGACGCCATGTTAGCGCATGCCTGTAGGATACTTGAGAAAGTAAACTGATTAGGAACAAGGGAAGCATGCATCATACACTGGAAAAGCTCCAAAGCCTCCTCATTTAGATTGCCTTGCGCATATCGTGCAATCATGTAACTCCAAAGAATAATATCACATTGGGGAATTAACTCAAAAACCAAACGGGCATCTTGTATGCTTCCACACTTGGCATACATGTCAAGAAGTGCACCACTCACATAAAGGTCACAATCATAGCGAGATTTTATGGTACAGCCATGGATACTCTTGCCGAGTGGAAGGTCTACCAAGGCAACAGAAGCCTTTAGCGAACTAGCAAGTGTGAAATTATTCGGTCTGAAACCGATTTTCCTCATCTGGCAGAATGTCTCTACGGCCTTCTCACCATCATCATTTTCCGCATAGCAAGCAACCATTCCAGTCCAAGAAACCAGGTCCTTTTCCAATATCCCATCAAAGACCTTTCTAGCATCAGCGACATGCCCGCAAAGTGAATAAGCATCAATCAAAGACGCCCCAATGAAGGCATCCAATTCATGGCCGAGCTTGCAAATGTGGGCATGGATGGGCATACAAAACTCCGAAAGTTCCATATTTACAACCAGTTGCAAAACCGTGGTGAACACAAACGGGTTAAACTCAAGACCTTCCCGGTGGAGTCGTAAAAAAAGTCCGGCAGCCTGATCGAATTCCCCGCCGAGGACATATCCCTGTATCAACGTCACAAATGAGATAGTATTTCTCTCATTCATCTCATCGAACAGCTGACGAGCGTCACTAATAAGATATGATTTCACGTACATGTTGAGGAGCACATTCTGCGAGAACAGATCCAAAGCGGCGCCCATTTTAAGACCGTGGCAGTGAAGAGCTCTTCCCCTGGCGGCATCGCCGTCTGCGATGCACCACTGCAAGTTCCGGGAATAGGTGTGAGGATCGAGCTCCGTTCTCCGTGCGACAGCTCCAACTCCGCCGCTAGCCCACTTCAATCCGATCGCGGAGAACCCACGTCGGAGAAAGGAGTCCGCCAAGATGTTCGGCCGCGGCGGAACTGGAATCTGTAAAGATCGAATCATGGTCGACGGCGCGAATTTCTCTCGACCATTCCAAGAGACAAAAATCGCTGCTTCCGGGGCGGGAAGAAAGGAGAGGGCCCTACACCTCGGTGGGCCTGATTGGAGCGTCACACGTGTGAGCCATCGTCTGAGAGTGGGTTTCCTGCACGTGTTGAGACGAAGCCATCCGGCCGTTGGCTCGAAATCAGTGGACGGATGTTGCCGCCTCGAAAGACATCAACTTCCCGTTCATGTCGGCGAGCTTGTCACGGCGAGGGGGACCGCCCAGAACCGTGAGACGTCGCTGTTGAGGGCTCTGACGGGAGGGCCCATTGGCTCTTATGTCTTTCGCTGTAAACCTGTCCTTGCTCTCACCCTCCGCCGACATCAACAGCAGCAGCGATGCTGACTTCGGGGGTCAGAGTGTCCGCCCATCGCCGGTTAGAACATTCCTGGTCTACTGGAACTGCTCCCATGTGGGATTTTAAGAACTTATGGAAGTTTTCCCTGATCGCAGTCTACCAGTTTCTTGACATTGCGTATTTCCCCGTGCAAGGATTAGAGTACGGAAGTTGCCTCCCCGTATTTCCTCTCACTCTTCTACTCTTTCCTTGCAACCTCCAAGTGCTGTTGTCTCTTTCTTCAGCGACCAATCTGGGGAGATAAATCTGTATTTGGATTGGTTACTGAAGTTTGGAGGTTTTAAGCTACGAAGGGATCGTACCCCTGTAATCCTCTTCCTAGTACTTCCCGTAAATAATATCTTATGCCCTAGCATAGAACTTGTCCATTTTTACCTGCCTTAAACTCCTTTACCCTCAGTGAGAGAGCACCTTGAGGACTGTTCTACGGTTCGGTGGGTAGGAAATATTTGCAGCCTACCACCGACAATCTGGCCTCTGGGACATGTGACAAGCTCATCTATGTTCAAACTTTACCTGGGAGCATGATGTGTTAATATCAAAGCTTTGTTTATTTATTCATTATTCCAGTATTACCCTCTCTCGCTCAGCCCCTGAATGCATATTCTATTCTCTTGAAAAAGAATGAAACTTGGTTTAGCTCTTGGAATTACATGATGGCGTCATGTTAAAATGAAATTCACAAAAGCTGGGTTAGAGATGTTGTTGCAAGAATCTCATGGACAGTTATGACCATCTTTCAGTGCGATGCCTTCAACTTGTTGAAGTGGGATCAATGGCTGAATATAAATATGAACTTGCTTTGAAACTAATAACGCAGGTGGAGAGGTTTCTTTTGAATGATGGTGCCCGAGGCGATGAACAACCTGCTTTTATTTGTGAAACTATTAATGTGTCCCAGTCAAACAACTCTGAGAGTACCATCAACTTTGATTCTTTGGAAACGATGCAGGCAGATCAAAAATCCCAGAAAAGAAAAGATTCTGGAATGTGGGAGAAGAGTAACAAGAAGGTAGAGTTTTTAGTGAGTGACAATTTTTTCAGATGATCAAGACTGGATTTCTCTCTTTCCTTGCAAATTCCAATTTGACAATGATTCAGCAGGCTTCTCCAAAGACGTCATTAACTTTTGGAACCCGAAATGATGCGCATCAATGTGATTAATCTGCGTCAATGTTTGGCACGAATGCTATAAGGCAAGCAAACGCCTTCCTAATGGTTTGATACTACATCTCTCATTCAAAGATAATTCGTGGTTACACCATATGTTTTGTTTTTATCGATTATCAGGTGGCAACATATTGTAGGAAAAATTTGTCACGCCTGCTATTCCTCTCAGTGGGTATTATGATCTATGCATGAACCCTCGTTGGTTCTATGACAATCAACAGGGGAAGAGAAATTCGAGCTTTGTGTCCATGCCACAGGTTATAAGTTCTCGCTTTGGTTTCCAAATGATGTTGGTCATAAGTTTACAGTCTCTCACATGACAATGCTAAGTTTTTAACCGGCAAGTGAGCACAGATCAATCGAGGATGCAGTGGACATATCAGAGCATGCCAAAGGTTGCTGTACTTCAGTTCTTGTGGTGCCATTTTTTATCTAAAGGCAATCTTGCCGATCTAATTGTTCTAGTTATTTTAAGACCATATGAACCAAGGAGCTTTAGTGTCTAATTAAGTGCAGGATATTGAAAAGCAACAGTGAGCATCTGTCAAATGTTTTGGCAGTGGAACAGAAGCAAGGATTTTAACCAATATCGTCTCAGTATGGTTTTAATATGATATTTAACAGTTTTGTTTGTATACCCTTAGGTGAACATCGAGGAATTTTATTTTGGTTTCACGAAAATGTTAAATAAACCTGATGATCTTTGGGTACACATTCATCAAATTTATGGAATGTTTCCTGGTATTTTCCTATTAATTATGGCTGATTTTCCTTCTTTTTTTTGCAGCTATATTTACTTCCCATTTGATAGATGTGCTCGTAAACACGCAAAATCTGGTCAAGTCTACCAAAATAGCATTTACTGTACCGTGCTTGATAAACCAAAGTTAGAAATTACAGTGCTTGTTCTCTAGAGCTTAGTCAACACTACCATGTTCCTGACGTTAGTTGTGTATATAAATTACTGATGCTTATAATCATTTATGGTAAATTTGAGGCCCCCCCTTTTTTTTTAGGGAGTATCAATTTGGAAGGTAATTCTTTCGATATATTATCGATGTCAAATCCATACATTTGAGTTAAGCAGATGTTCTAATTTGCCCCTCAGAGTTCAATACAGAACCTACTCAATGATGTAGTTCCTAGATGCCAGCAGGGACCATTCGAGCATAATTTATTTCGGACTGCTTTCTGCAATTCCATTCCTTGATGAACTCCGAAATCAGCATATTTCCCATATTTTTGTAAGCCTCCTGTGTCAAGTGAATCCCATCCCAGCTGATGAACCGGCTTGGATCAGCGCACAGTGGAGCTCCTGGGTTCCCACACCTGTTTTTCGAGTGAAATTCGCCGTCTTCATTGCTCCCGCAACAAGCCTTGAGAAGAGAATTTTTCTCGAACCCTGGTCATGAAAAATACCACACCATTCAGATGTCATGTAACATGATTCATAGATTTGATAATGGGGATATTAGATTTACCGTAATCATCGGCCTTGTCAATCAATGTTAAGTACATATTATAGTAATCTCCGTAGGTTATGGTGATGTCAGGGTGAGTCTTCTTCAGATCCCGGATGGCCTTCTGCAGGTACTCATTGTGGTATTCAGCGAAGCTGTTGAGGCTCTTCAGACAGCCCCTCTCATCAGGGACCAAGCCGCGGCCTTTGAAGAGAGTGAGGTAGATCGGCATGCAGCCGATCGGAAAATTCCCCGGCACCACTAATCGACGGGCGCCGACGTTGATTAATGCCTGTAAACGTCATTAACCTACTGAGTTTATAATATCTGAGGTTAATTAATCGCTCATATGACAAAACTTTCAGTACCTTAGCAGTAGCTATGATGGTTCCCACCACTTGTGGCACATAAGTCTTCACCTCTTCCAATGACTTGCCTGCCTGGAAGGAATTGCTGTAGTCGTTCCCCCCAATCTCACCCACTAGGAAGAGCGCCTTTCGGAACTTATTTGAACAGTCTATAGTTCATAAACGGATGTCAGAAATAAATCCTACGATCCAAGAGATGATACGATTATGGGGAAATGTGGGGAGGGCAGGACCTTCCTTGGAGAGGCAGATATGGTTGATGTGGGCATTGAACCATTGGAGCTGCAGGTCGAGTGAGTAAGACGTTACTGGTAGCGAGATCCCCCTTTTGAGGAAGAAAGACTGATTGAGTGCAGTAGCTCCGCCGACAGCGAAGTTGACTCCATAGTCAAAGTTGGCCGATTTATCCATGTACGGTGGCATGTTGGGAAGATCAAACGTAGCCGCTGTTGGAAAGGAGGGGGAGGTGAGGGACGGGAAGTTGATTTTGGATTCTGGAATACACAGATGATGACAAAATGAACCGCTCGCTACGGAGAAAATTTATCTGCCCTTACTGATGTAGTCGATAATAAGGTAGCCGTCTGAGAATCGACCGGTGGCCTTCTGGAGGGTCTCGCCGTAGGGAAGGGAGGCCGATGGCGAGCGCTCTCCTTCCCGGGTGAGATAAATTCTGTTGCCGGTGTCGGCAGTGGAGTCCCCGAGGCTGTAAATCGAGGTGATGGCGCAGCCCTTGGCAACGGCGGAAGATCCGCTTCCTCCGCGGGGAGGGGGGACGACGAACTCGAGGTGTAAAGGTTGCACAAGTGAGAGCAGCCAGAGGATCAGGCGCCCAGCCATGGCTCTGGTGGCTCTGCGTAAATTAGCAGAGGAAATGAAGCGGCATGTTTTCTTGGGAAGTTTTCCAAGGGGGTTTATAGGCGTCTCCTGCCCGGTCGTAGGAAGAAGGGCGGTGGACTCAGACACCGGTTGACAACGCTACCTAACAGAACCCCGACCTCCGGACGAAGAAGATAAAGATGATAGAGTCACGACCATGTCCAACGATAAATGGGGAACCTTCTTAGGAATCCATTAATGCGATATGAGCTAATATGATATTAGGAAACGGTCACTATCTTACCAAATAACTGAAGATGATATAACGATGACCACCCAAAAACGTAACATATAGATATATATATATTCAGTGAAATCGAGATACTATCAATGCTAATGGTTGATGGCAGCTGACACAACGAGATATTAGATGGATGTAAGATGGTACACAAGCTTGCAACACGTAAAAGGATGTCATGTGGGCCCGTCAATTGCGATTAAGCTCGAGAATAATCGCTGCACATTAGATGTACATTTAGCTTAGAATATGGGTTACTCTCCAAGGTTTTCATAAGAAGGATTATTTAGCTGCAGTAATCCTGGGGATTGGTGAGGAATTCAATTCGTCGACCCCGTCTAAGATGACGATCCGCGTTTACCGTTCAACAGAATCCATCTCACCAAACCTTGAAATATCTCAAAAACTCACGGGGGAAACTCATGGCGAAACCTTATCCCAAACCTTACGAAAACCCGTTTGTTCCTTCCGGCCACCAAGGTCC